GGGGATGGCCACACCACAGTCCTTTCTCCTCCATTCTACTCTCGGGATCTTGGGCACGCACACACACACTCCCGGCGTGAGTTTAAGTCACCAGGTCCAGGACTCGAACTGCGGTTGACTCCATGGGAGTCTAGCGACGTAGCCATTACACCAACTGCTGGTCCCCGGGCATGTTTCTTTTAATATGAATATTCCAGCTAATAAACAAAGAAGGCATGCTAGAATTAGATTATTACTATTTTGCCACCTCTAGCGAATTATTTAATTATATAAGTTTATTTCTGAACTTTGTTTATGTGACTATCTGTCTGTTCAGACATTAGTACCACATTGTTTTAATTGTAGCTTTATAATATATATTTTATTTATTTATTTATTTTTGGAGAGGTTTTTGCTATAGGGCACGTGCGTTCGCCAGAAAGACAGAGAGAAACAGAGAGACAGAAAACGAGAAATCACCCCCCAGGGGGGATGGCCACGCTACAATCCCTTCTCCTTCATTCTTCTCTCGGGATCTTGGGCACGCATGCACACACGCCCGGTGTGAGTTTAAGCTGCCGCGTCTGGGACTCGAACCATGGTCGACTACGTGGGAGTCCAGCGACATAGCCATTATGCTAACTGCCGGTCCCATATAATATATTTTAATACTTGAGAGATGCATGACATCTCTGAGTGGTTTCCCTATGAGCCTCAGTTTTGTCTTCAATGAAAAGGGAATAATACCTTCCTCATAAACCTGTTGGGGGAGGGTAAATGAGCTAATAAAAGTGAACTTACTAAAAAGGCCGTGCAGGACCCTGGACTGGGTCTTAGAACAGAGAAAGAACATTAGTGGAAAAGCTGATGAGAGCCAAATAAAGTCTAGAGTATAGTTAATAGTAATGTACCAATTAGTTTTTTGACTTTGATAAATGTTCCATGGTTGCATGGTTAGGCATATTAAGGGAAACCCGTTGATGGACATACCATCTTTTCCAATAAATAACTTAAAAATAATTTTTAAAGAAATGTTTGCAAATGATATTGTTAATAAAATGTCAAATGGTTTATTTAATTTTTTGGTCTAGATTTTAAGTGTGTCGAACAAGTATTTATTGCATAAATATTTATAAATTGCCGTTTTGCTAAGCACCCTGGACACCATAAAGAAGTGTAAGAGAAGCTACTGCCCTATAATCCCTTTAAGGAAAAGAAGTTGAAAACACTCCTCAGTTAAGTCAGTGCCGATGTCACAGGGGCTGTGTGGCAGAGTAGCTGAGACCACAGGTGCCGTGGACTCTGCAAAGGGGAGTGAACGAACACTCTTTGCTCAAGTGGTGGAAGGGCACAGGAAATAAAGTGGAAGGAGTGACAAATGAAGACCAATCTGCCCTTACCCTCAAAGATGCTGTCTTTTGGAGGAGATAAGTAATTTGTAATCCTCAAATAGTTAGGATTACAAATTAGAGAATGTTAGCAATAGTGAATGTTGCTAAAATGTGAAATAAAACAGTTCTTAAGGCATGGTAAAATTGTAACTCCTCATCTTTGATAATCCTGTTTTTCTCTCTATTTGAAGTCTGATCATGCTTGAGTATGGTACTCTGTCACTGTTTCACTGGGGTGCCCTCAGGCTAATAAGTAATCGTCTGAACGTAGTTTCTTTGGACTACAAGCTCTCATGAGGTTCTTTCAGGCTTTCATGTTCTAAAAACAAGTACGCACCCATAAACACACACATGCACGCAAACACATAAACTCCTTGAGAGTAGAGGAGTACAAGCACAGACACAGAAACCTTGTCAATGTTAGGGTATCTGACTTTCAGATTTCTCTGTTTCCAAATTTGAACTCAAGGTATAGCATAAAACTCGTAAACAGCACAGTTACTCTGGTGAATCAAAGACTTGCATAGAACCGAAGACAATATAGTCCTGATGAGAGCCCTTCTAATTAGAGTCACAGCTGTGTGACCACTCTTCCAGTGTTGATTGGAGGGTCTGCTTCTTTGGCCGGCCATGGGGCTCTGCTTTTGTTCTTTTATTGGTCAACAGTTTCATAATTATTATTTTTAATACCTTTATTAAAACTTTTAAAACATAAAAGCTTAAATTATATAAAGAATGTTTTTTTGTTGTTGTTCAATTAGCCTTCCATCTCTCCTTGGAGAGACCCTTGTTGGGTTTCTTGTGATTCTTCCAAAGCTAGTCTTTGACTATACAAGCATAAACATACGTACTCTTTGAAAATACGTATGCATACAGGCACACAAATGATAATCCAGTATGTACACTGCACTTTCCCATTTAATAATTATCTTAGAATTTTCTCAGAGAACTTGAAGACCCTTAAACAGCTTGATCCCTTTCCCTTCCCTACCACTAATGCAAGCCAAAGACGGTGACAATTTTGGTATCAACATGAACATTATCGCAATAGATTAAAGTTTTAATCACATTTAAATTCGGTCTCTCATAATGCTTTTTAAACAAAGTAAAATTTAATTGTTTATTTTTAGAGGATACAGGAAGTCAACTCATTCTTCTGAAAACTGGTAACTAAAGAGAAAATCAGGTATTTCCCCTGACCTTCACAAACTGAACCTCAAAGTAGCCAAATAACTGATAAGAGCATGCTTTCTTTATGAGTATTCCAGCTGATAAACACAGAGGCATATTAGAATTAGAATATTACTATTTTGCTACCTCTAGTGAATTATTTAATTATATAAGCCTGTTTCTGAACTTTGCTTACTTGACTGTCTGTCTCATCAGGCATCAGTACCATGTTGTTTTAATTGTAGCTTTATAATATATTTTAACACTTCAGAGAACAAATTCCCCCTATATGTGTACATAGTTCTGTAGAATTTCCATGGCTATTCTGTGCATTTAGTTTTACACATTTTGGAATGAATTTATCTAGCTCTGGAAAAGGTCTGATAGTATGTTTTAAAAACTGAAATTGACTACAATTTATATATTTGCATAAAGAAAATCACCATCTGTTGTGTTTTACTAGCTTAGCTGAGATGGAATATAAATATAAATATAAAATCTTGCATTTATGTTGGGGAAACATTAACTGTGCAAGATTTAGTCATTTATTAAACAACAGATTTAGCTTTTGTGCCAGACGGTATTCCATATACCAGGGAGACAGCAAGTGAATAAATTGTAGGTAGTCTCTAGCCTTAGGCTCATACACATGCATTAAACTCAGGCTTGCTATTACATCACATAAAGAAATTTCAGTTTCGTCTCACCACCGGTCTCATGTTAGCCAGCTGGTCACAGGGTTGCTCAGTTACCATCTTGGGTCATGTTAGAGGTTGTGCAGAGGGAGAAGTGGAGCGCACTGAGCAAGTGATTCTGGCTCTGGGGACAGAGAGCAGGGTGCGACTAGGTACTCTGAGGCATTGGCAACTTATTTAGCCTCTTCAAGCCTTGGTTTCCTGAACCATAAAATGGATGATATTGGTTGTATGTAAGTTGCCAGGGTGTGTATGAGGCTTAAATGAGATGAACCGGAGTGCTTTGCATCTCGCCCAGCACCTACTTGTGTTCTGTAAATGTTTTCTTTTCCTTCCTTCCTTCCTCCCTCCCTCCTTCTCTTCCTTCCTTCCTTCTTTCCACCAGAGAAGGAGAGAGCAAGAGAGTGAGAGCATGGGAGAGAGAGAGAGAGAGAGAGAAAGCAAGCTGCCAGGTCTGAGACTTAAAACCGTGGTTGGCCATGTGCGAGTGGGAGTCCAGCACTCTTAACCACCATTAAATCAGTAATCTCTGGTGGTCTCATGGTATCTGATTTATTATGGTCAGTTCCTGGTTTCATTATTTAGAAGAGGTAGTAGAAGAAGATATCTAGAAGAGGGTGATCAGATGGTAAGCAAAGTAGAGACCTAGAAACACTGAAGAAATAGTAGACCTTCTTACTGGAAAAGAGGAGACTAATGAGAAACAGAGTGGCCAGATAGTTATTTTGAATTGCTTTGGAGACAGGGCTAGAGGGACTCAGACCAGCTAGTGGAATACAACTTAATGTAAGAACTCACTTTCTGGCAAGTGCATCTGTTCAATAGCAGAATGATTCTATAGTGAGCTTCCTGTCAGAGGAAATGTTCAAGAAGAATCTGGGAAGCTACAAAACACAATTCTGAATTAGAAAGATGAGGCTAAAGAATGAGTAAGGCGTTTTTCTATAAATCCCAATATAAAAGTCACATGTAAAAAAAGATGTGCAATCACATATGTAGAACATTTTCTGCATATGACTGATCCATTTTCAAAAAACTAAAATTCTTTGAAACCTTCTTTGATCCTTTCTTGAGTTAAAAGATATCGCTTTGCCTTGGGGTCCTTGTGAACAACAGGAGTAATCATCACAGAAGCAAAAAGAAATGGCAAAATACAGAGACTTGGCAACTAGCATATTTCACTTCAGGCTTTTCTTTTGTTACCTTGGAGACAAGTCCTTTGCTTTCAAGCCCCTTCTTTTTTGTCTAGAGTATTAATCGTGCCTCCCACTTAGAGCACGAGTCTTCAAAAGAGTAGCATGTTATTGAATGTTTTCTAAGCCTCTTGGTCTGTGGAGCTTTCTGAAGGACAGTACTGTTCGTGTCTAGCAGACAAATAGCAGATTTAAAGAAAAGAATGTGACTCTGTAAACTTGACCTTGCTCTGTTGAGCACCAACATGTCCCTGTTATCTTCATTTTTCCTGCTATTCTTGTATTGCAGGAAATGTAACCATAATATGTTACAAAAATGCAAAAAAAGTTCTATAAAGGAGGTAGTATTTAATATATTTATTTCATGTTCATTGTCTTACTTCCTTTGGATGGACATTATTGATGGGCCACAATTTCCAAAGTTATGTTTTATAAACCTTTTTTGCTGTCACTGGAAACTCATGGGATAACATTATAGATACTGTGTTAATGTATTAAGTGGAGAACTTAGTAAATATAAACAAAATTTTTATTCATAATCAATCTTTAAAGCATGATTTGTGCACTTGCAGTGAATGATGAATCCACCGTAGCCACTGATTCCGAAGAGCCCTCTGTCGTTGGTGTGACATCCCCACCCACCGCAGCCTTGAGTGTGACCACGAACCCCAACACAACGTCTCTTCCAGCTCCGGCCACCCCAGCTGAAGGAGAAGAGCCCAGCACTTCGGGCACACAGCAGCTCCCAGCGGCTGCCCAGGCCCCCGATGCTCTGCCTGCTGGGTGAGTAGTCTTCTGTCCTGCGACAGCGCTTTCCTTCCGAAAACTGAGGCTCCTTCTCCAGGGGAGAAACAACGCTGTTATTTATTACCTAGTGGCTAAATATCTCTGGAGAGGCTGCCATGTGTAGAAGCAAGGGAGGTGTGGGAGAACTGCTTGTACTACATAAATCTTAACGGAATCTAAATCATCCAGGCCAGAATCAATGCTACCTTATGCTGTGACTTGACACGAACAGCTTGACTCAGAGTGTGGCTTTTATGGAACAAGGAGCTCATTTGGCCTTTCTGAATCATTGGAAGGTGTTGGGCTAGACCCTGCCTAGAAAATGGCTTTACTCTCTTGAATTTTGTCCTATCAGCCTGCGCCTCCACAGGCTCTAGGCTCTGAATGTTACAGTATGTTATTCTCATCGCTGGGGTAGATGTTAACATAGTTTCCTTGCCATCCATTAGTTAAGAATTAAACTTAGTGGTAAAGACTTTGGACCATAAGAAGATGGCCTCAGAGAGCCAAAGGGAAGTCCAGATTTGGCTATCTATTGAGTGGAGATTAAGAGCATGGACCTGGGAACCAAACGGGTCTGGGTTTGAATGTCCGCTCACCCCCTGGCCTTACATGATTTACCATTTTGGTAAGGTAGAAAAAATACTAAGAAGCTAAGGGACTCAAATGAGATGGTATATGAGGAGCACTCACTGAATGGTGGGCTTTATACCTGTTAAATGATATTTTTGAAGTGGTTGTGAAGGGCCATAGGGAAGATAATGCTTCTGAAGTGGGGAACAAAATCTTATCTCAGTGACTATAGGGCCAGTCCTCTTGTCCATCCTTGTCAGTTTGGTATAGAGGAGACCATTGTTCATATAGCTACAGTCACCAATGATCTGGCTGAGGTTGGCCTTAAAATTCATAAAGGAAGGGGACCAGAAGTTAGTATAATGGCTATGTCACTGGACTCCCACGTAGTCGACCGCGGTTCGAGTCCCGGACCCGATGGCTTAAACTCATACCGGGCGCGTGTGCATGCGTGCCCAAGATCCCGAGAGGAGAATGGAGGAGAAGGGATTGTGGCGTGGCCATCCCCTCTGGGGTGGGTGGGTGGGGGGTGATTTCTTGCTTTCTATCTCTCTATCTCTCTCTGTCTGTCTGGCGAGCGCACGCACCCTATATCAAAAACCTCTCCAAAAAAAAAATTCATAAAGGAAGAGGGGAGAATGGAGGGTCTCTTGCATGATGGGTAATGTGCTGTTAGTTCTTAAATCACTACTAAAAACCCATTTGTCGGGGCCAGCAGGTGGCATGGTGGTTGGGATACTGGGCTCCCACCTGGCTGACTATGATTCAAGTCCCAGACCTGGTGACTTGCTTTCTTACTTTCCCTATCTCTCTCTGGTGAGCGTATTCTCTCTCTGGTGAGTGTATGTACCTTGTAACAAGTTAAGTAATAATACTAAATACATTTTTTTTTTTTTTGAGATTTTTGCTATAGGGTGCATGTTCTTACCAGAGAGACAAACAGAGACAGAGAGACAAAAATCGAGAAATCATCAACCGCCCTAGAGGGGATGGCCACACCACAGTCCCTTCTCCTTTATTCTCCTCTCGGGATCTTCAACACACACACACACACACACAGCATGAGTTTTAATCCATAGCATCCGGGACTTGGACTGTGGTCAACTACATGGAAGTGTAGTGATGCAACCATTGTGTCATCTGCTGGTCCTGATATATAAAAAAAAATTAAATCCCAATTGTTTAAATGAAAGTCCTAAATCTGGGGGGCTGGAAGGTGGTGGTTAAGGTGGTTGGACTCTCAGATGGCTGACTGTGGTTCAAGTCCTGGACCTGACAGCTTGGTTTCTCACTTTCCTTCTCTCTCTCCCCCTCTCTCTGGTCAACTTCAGTAAAATAAAAAAATGAATAATGACAATAAATAAAATTAAATAATTGTTAAAAAAAATTCTAAATCTGAAAGCAGATATGATTTTTATGACATATATATTGCATCTCTAGCACTTAGCACACCACCCAACTCATCTCTCTTAATAAGGTTTGTTAAACAAATGAAAACTATTGCAAATAATTCTTAACCTCAAACCTGGAGAGAATTGGAGGTATTGAGAAGCAGCTCAGCTTTTCGTAAAGTTTTCGATTTTGTGAAAAGATTACTAACCACTTGCTGTATCCCACTATTCCCTATAGAGATTTCTCTTGCATGTAGGGTAAGGAATACTTGAAAGACCTTTGGTTTATAATTTCAAATCTATGTGCTATAATTTGGAGGGAAAAGAGCAGAATCATTTTGGCAAGAAGGAGAGAAAATGGCTGCCTGTGTCCCCTGTGAGCTGTTTGTTTTCTTTCCGCTGAGCAAATGCCTGGAAGGCCGGCCTCACTCCCGTGTCAGTCACAGGCAATTAGGGCTAATGGCTCAACATGTCTTTATGTAGGGCGTGTGTGAGGGTTACTGTTCTCTGGGATTGGGCACTTCCTGTTTCCAGGCAGCTGGAAAACTCCAGGCTCTGAAAACACTCTTTATTCTAAGTCTGGTGGAACAAACCGCCCAGGGAAGCCAATTCCCTCCCTGATCCTGCCAGAGGCTGAAACACGTTTCTGAAGTAGAGTTTGACCAGCTTCTTTTCTGTGGAGCGTTAGGATAGGACTAGACCTGCCTGCAGCCCTGGGGAGGCTGCCCCTTGCTTTAATGTGTACAATGGTCCAGAGAAGGATATAGGAGACCCAGTTTTGCAGCCCAGATGTGCTTCAAGGGCTTCAAGATGCCTGGGAGTATTGGTACCATCTGAGCTGCCTCAGAGTCCAGAAATGGTCGGCTACCTGACTGGACATTGCCATTAGCACTGCTGAGTGCAAAGCCGTGAAGGGAGCGGGTATTCAGCTGGCCACTCTGTGGCAAGCCAGAAAGGGCACAGTTTCTACACTGACCTTTCCAGTTCATAGACCTAATGTCCCTACCCACCCCAGCTTATTTACAAGTTTAGAAAACCGAGACAAGGCAGATCATTAATTTATTTCTTATGTCTTGGCTTTAGGAGTAAGAGAGCTAATGTGGGAATGAAATCTGTCATTCTAAATCAAATATCAACAAAGTGTATATTATAACAGAAGGACTGAAGTGCCATTATATAGGAAATGCACGTATTTGCATTGGCAGAATGTTGTTATCCTTTTAAGAAAAAAGTTTCTTTCTTTCTTTCATGAGCACATATGTGCATGTGTGAGAGAGTCAGCACCCCCAGCAGGTTCCTGTTGCCGTTATCCTGCCCCAGCCTCAGCCAGCCTTGGGTCACAGGCACATGCATGCCCAGCGTCCTCTCGGAGGTCTCTGGATGTGAGCCCAGAACCTACTTGTGTGTGTTAGCCTCACAAGAGCCTTGTGTTTTATTGCTATGTCACCATTTAGCCCATGCCTTTATCTTCTAAGAAGACATATAAATGCATCATTTAAATCAAGCATCTCCTAGTTCTTGTGTTATACACTAGTGATTCTACAGATTCATTCTTTCATTAAAATTTGTGTTACTATTTCAGAGATGTCAGGTACAAGGCTGGGCAAATGCAGTGCCAAAGGTCTTTGTGTTCAGACTGTTTTACAGTGCTTGCTATGGTCACACTGAGTTCTCCCCTTTGTCAACTCACCCATTCCCTTGGCTTCCATTGGGCTTTCATGCCAACTCCCATATCTGTGCCTTGAGGCCATTGTTTCCTGACTCACTGCCTGGAGATCTCCACCTGGCTATCGTAACCCTGCCTGTTCAAACTGGAATACATCATCTCATCCACTCCATTCCGGTTAGGATCCGGTCTCCCTTGTGATACTAGAGCCACTGTCCACCTGGGCAGCCATCAAGCCATTTGTCTGTCACTCTCCTTTTGGATTGTACTCTTGCAGCCTCCCATACTTCTTCTCTTCAGTATTTATCACATAGGATTTAAATAATGATTTATTGCTATGATACTATAACTGCCATATGGGTAAGGACGTCTTTCTTATTTGCTGCTGTATATCCAAAACTTAGGACAGTGTCCGGTATAGAGTGGGACTCCAGGAAAATTTGTTCAATGAAAAAAAGGATTCTACCTCTCAAGTAACCCTCAAATCTGCTCACTTCACCGTATGCTTTTGCAATATTCTAGGCCAAATTACCGTTATCTGTCAGTCAAGCAACTATACATTTCCCCAGTATATTTTAAATACAACTCCGAACCTGACCTATCACCACTTAGAATGCTGCAGTGGCTTCCTATTGTCTTTAAGGATAAATTCATGAATATTTAATAAGACGTAAAAAGCCCTATATGGTATGACCCCACCTGCCTCTCAACTTTTCATGTAAAACACTCTCCACCTTTCTAGGGTACAGCCATAATAACTTTATTATTTTTTAAATTATGATGTATATTGTACATATAATTGATGTATGTCTGTGGGGTACAGTATGATTTTTTGAAGCATGTGTAGAGTGTATAATAAATCAAGGATATATACATATTTGTCTTCAGCATCGAACATTATATTATGTCATGCACATTTTATAATAGTTTTAATAGTTTTTTTAAATATTCATTAAATTGTCCACAGTTTTTACTCTGCTGTGATATACTATCCTGTGGCCTCCTTTTTTTTTCCCAAGAGAGATTTTGTAGGGTGTATGAACTTGCTGGAGAGACAGAGAGACAAAGAGACAGAAAGTGAGAAATAATCCCCGGGAGAGAGGGCCATGCCACAATCCATTCTCCTCCATTCTCTTTTTGGGATTTTGGGCATGCACGTACATGCACCTGGCATGAGTTTTAAGCCACCAGGTTCAGGCCTCGAGCCATGGTCGACTCCATGGAAGTCCAGAGACATAGCCATTATGCCATCTGCTGGTCCCTCTTCCTCTTTTTTATATGTATCTTTGTATCTGTTAAAGCTTTTCTGGTGAACTCTTCCTGCCCCCAAGCAGCTCGTGGTATTTGCCACTGCTCTGTGCTTTCAT